CGGAAGAGTTGCATGCACTTAAGAGTGCTTATTTTCAATGGGGAGCAGAGACATTAACACACAGAACAACTAGCTCTTTTTCAGTGACATTTCCTTTGGAGCTGGAAGAGACACCTAAGAATTTCTGTTTCCATTAGTTCATCTGCTTTCCTATAATGTTTGGGTGAAAATACAAGTTACCTCAGTTTAACTTACCGAACGTTTTCTGGTCTCAATTTATCCAGTACCATCTCTATTAAATCAGGCCTGAATTCTTCAAGCAAATATTCAGCAGCCAATACTTCTTCTATAGGGTAATACTAAAAATCAAAGCCCAGAAACATGTAGATGAATTAAACAAAAACTAAGCATGAAAAAATTACTGTTTTGTAAAAGAAGTAAAAGTGTATACTTCTAGTCACTAAATCTGTATCACCTTGGTAATTTCAAATTAGAAATGCACAGATGTCTTAAAATCTTTCTCTTCATAAACAAGACGTAGTGGTACTCTAACTATGCAATCATATTCCTCGTATATTAATTAATTTTATATACTACTTATTACCATTCTTTTCTCTTGAAATATTTTATGTCTCAATATAAAAAGTCACCCATCTTTAAATACTGTTTTGAAGTAACTAAAGTAAAAATAACATGGTAAATGCTGACCCCTGGAGGATACTTTTAAAGATAAGAGAACACCAAGTACTCACTAGAGTGCATTTGGGATAAACAAAACACAACAACGCAAAAAAATCAACCAAACAACCAACCACAACAACAAAAAAAATCAATCCTAACCCACTAAGTTTGTTAGGATTGTCTCAGAATTCAATTTTTATTTACAGTAATTTAAAGGAAAGTATATTTCAATTATCTAAAAGCATAATAAAAATTTACACAATTTTAATTTAGGATGAAACTGAAAATCTCTTAAAGTACACTGCAATTTAAGAAGAAAAAATAGTTAAAATTTCTCTGAAAATTATTAGTGTGATTGACAACAAAACTTTTTTGATAAACATCTGTTTACCAAGGGAAAAACATCAGGCGACCTAAGCACCGAGTACTTGCACTGTGCCATACAGGTATACTTTTTTTGACCAGAATTATTATAAAATGGCTTTCTGAATTACATACATCACATAAAAAAACTAGAGCGGAATGAATTCCAGAACACAGAGTAACTCGCACGAAGGATTTTGGAAAAGACAAAGGGCCGCAACTGGTTTGGGGGGTAGGGGGTGGAGACCAAGGACAGTGAACCAAACCTGTGTTACAAAAAAATTCACATGTGAATGCTAAAGATCCACAATTTGAAAGAACTTGTCCAAAAGATTCATTGTACACTGAAGAATGCTTATTTAACTACATTCTGCATAAACAGCTAAGCAGACTAAGCAACTCGAAAGGGAGAATTTAAGTAATCTACGCATTTCTAATCTGAAATTACCAAGACAATACAGATTTAGTGAGCAAAAGTCTACACTTTACTTACTTGCCACAGTCTGCCCACTAACTGGAACTGAACATAAAATTTATTTGGTTACTTATTTTTGTATTGCTTGAGTAGGAGGGTCGGACAAGATGACCTCCAGAGGTCCAGTCCAACCTCAACCATTTGGGATTCTGTGACTCTTTTTCAGCAAGGTCAGATTGTAATGTAACTAAAAATAAAACAGACTAAAACAATCTAGATACAACCATCAGATTAAAATGAAATTTTAAAAATTATACAATTAAGGAGACAAAACAAAAGAAAAAGGGCACTGCCTACACATGACAAATATGAAACACAATTTGACAGTAAGACTTAGTGGTGACTCCTTAGACCAGTACAAATGTGCTTTAAAGATAAACTTCTGTTTTGTTGAATAAAAAGTTTTTTTAAATCCTTTCAGTAAATACATAACAACTTATGACATTAAATTTACTCATGCTGACTTATACACAGGTTCTTCTCCAAGTTATGAAAAACAGCTAGTATTCGTAAGCGCACGAAAATCACCAAACAACAGTTCTAGGTTGGTTAATTCAAAGCATAAACTTAGTATGACTTAGAGGCAATAAAGAGAACTAGAAAAGTTACTTTTCTACTAATGTTTAAGCAACTAACAGCAGAATCAGAATTACCATTCATATTGCAAAGCACAGCAAAAGAAAAGCAGTGAAAAAAAAAGTCCTCAATAAATACCCTGCTCTTTGGAACACTGCTGGCAACTTCCTGGCCTGATTTTTGGAGACAGCAATTGTAATCAGGAATGATCCAACAAATACAGACCATTGAAAGACTGTTTCAGAAGTCCGTTTGTCAAAGAGATTTCATGCATTTGACAGAACAAAAGCAAGAGGCAGTATCCCAAACAGGAGCTCCTTTAAGTATCCATTTAAAGGTTTTCAGTTAAGTGTAATGTTTTTTAGTAAACAGAAAGACTATTCTAAAATCAAAGATTGTTATTTTAGACTTTAAAAATTAAAGGTGTAGGAGCATTAACAAGAACTCCTGCAAAGAAACAAAAAATGCCTCTGAGTAGTCGTAGACATTAGCTGTGCAATGGAGAATGGCTCCAATGTGTAAGCTGCAAGAATTTCACTAGACAAAAAAAACCCCACACCTAAATCTTCCTTTAGTGCAAAATGAGGGAACCATATTTTGCAAGAAGTATAAAGACTACGTATAACCTACATGATGATTCTTTCAGTACCAATACATAATTAGTAGAGTTAAACATTTCTAATTTGCAATCTTAATAGGAACACTTCTGCTTACTGCAGTATTTCAACATTGTTAGCTACAGAAGCATTTAGAAACATAGTGCTTCTGTTTACAATAAAATATTATTTCTCTAATATTTCCCTAGAGAACATTCAGCTATCGGGTAGACACAGAATGACAAGCTATCTATGTCTTAAGAAACACTGAAACAGATCAATTAGCAACTCCAGTTACTGTAAAATCAGTTCCACCAAGTACAGAAGTATAAAATGGTAGAGAGTGAAGGAAATGTGACTTACTGACTGTCAAAACTAAGATCTATGCAGCATGATATTAGCTTCCTAAGCTCAAGAACTGCAAAGGACCTTTGCAAATACCTGTATTTATTAAGACTATAATCAAACATACTGCTAAATGATTACTATGTTGTAAAAAAACCCCAAAAATAAACAAACAAAAAAACCACACATACTTACATGCAACATTCCCCCAAGCTTTGATGTATAGCCTCGTGGTCGCTCTTTATCTTTAAATCTGAATGCCACAGCATTTAGATCCTAGGAAACAACGTAGAAAGAGTCAAAAAACATATATTAAAGACTATTTAAGAATAACTATTAGCTACTTAATTCCTTTTCAGAACATAAGAAAGGAGTTTTGTTGTTTCCATTCTATACTAGTTAGACAGGTATCTAAAAAAGCTTTCAGTAATATTCAAGTTGCACAAAACTCATATGCAATTTCAGATAGTCTCACAATGTGAAGTGTTATGCAAGTCTTGCAAGTCCTGTTTGTAGTAAGAGACCTGTCCCATAGCTCATATACTTAAATTTGAAAACACACCAACTTTGATAGAAGCAATGCAGAGTGTTCCAGTGCAATGTTTGTTGTATGTTAATGAACTGAAACCTTTCCCTCTTCCTTTGTTGTTCCTCTGTTCAGTCAGTCAAAAGGCAAGTTTAGAGACAGAAAAAGTGTGCGTTTATGCTGCCTTAGCCACAGAAATAGAACACATAATTCTTAGAATACAATGACAAGGGTGAATTAAAAAGATCTAAAATTATAAAGCAAATTAAAAGGACAGTCCATCCTTCTGTGAAACCATGCAGAGAGTCTGGTTAATTCAACAATTCAGCTGAAAATAAACTCAAAAGAATATTCTTTTCAAACTAGTTTGCCAGCTTTTCTGATTCACCTCACAGTCTCAGGAGTGCTGGGGCTGATACAAGAGGATCAAGGGAAAGACACAGGCATGAGATGGGAGGATGGAACTACCTCTTTCAAATCCTGTATTTGCTCAGAATGACAGTAAAATAATTCCACTGGGATAGCACAGAGTAAAGAGACTTCTTTTACAGGTATACAGTGTCAAAACACAAGAAACAAAGTTAACACATCTGCAGAATTTCTATTCTTAAACAGAAGAAAAACAACAGTTTTCACCAAATAAAGCTAAGATGGAACAAGAAATCTTTACCTAAGTATTTGTAGTGAACCAATGAGACCATATACATGAAAATAAAACCGGTTTTATTTCACACTGTCACTGAGAAGTGGAGTACTATTTAATTCTAATAGGATACTTTGTATTTTTGCTCTGTGCGCACAGAACCATACAGACTTATAAGAAGCATGAACAGTTCAGCAAAGACTGAAGTGTACAGCCAAAGTACTCCATGAAAAGTTTAAGTTCACCTCTCAAAAAGGTGAGAGAACAAACAGCAGATTAAATGTCCTACTGCCTTTACAATCTCAACTGTACAATTTGACACATGAAAAGATAGTAGTAGAATTAACAGCCACTTCAATCTTCAATTCAATGTTACCCCTCACAGCAAACACTTCCCCCCTTCCACCTTCAGTAAAGACTAAGGAAGGTTATGCAAAATCCTTGTGGACCGAGTAAGATACTTCTTTCTACACCTCCATTATGCTATCATAAAATGTCAACTCACAGCTCTATAACAGCATTTCACATCTACATTAAGAATATATACTGAATGTACTTGTCATTTTTGTCATGTTGCACCTTTAAAATGAATAAACTTAATTACCATGTGATTATTAAAGGCTATTTCCACAGCCAAGGAATCTATTTCTACTCATAGTCCAAAACTTTGTAAAAATACAATCACCGCGTATTTCAAGTATCAATCATTGTACCTTGCACTCTTGAAAAACCCACTCTTGAGGTCCTTCTGTACGTAGTTTTTGAATATATTGAAACATGTGCAAAATAATATCTTCAACGTGCACTGGAAATTAAAAATACTTGTTTAATAATTCAGTCAGTTCCGCACAAAGAAAAAATTCTGTTGAACACAAATATGTATGGTTTCCTTTTTAATTACAGCCTGACATATCAAGTTATTTAAGTACAAATGCAATCCCACTGGCAAAGCTAAACATGTTTTTCTCAGACATGAATTTAAAGGAAGTGTTGAGGTCCTCAGCTAATTCTGAGAACTGCATTGAACATGTCTTATGTCAAGATATTGACTTATAATATAATTTAATTCAGGTCTAAATAGTATGAAGTAGTAGTTCACAAATGTACTAACAGCTTTTTGTTTTAAAGAAATTTACTTTAAAATATTCAATGAAATACTTTAATATAACCTCAAATAAGTTGGTTTCTTGTGCTAGATGAATTGTGTTAGCACACTGAGAAGATCTAAACACAGCAGAACAACCAGTTAATTAAAATAAATTGGCTTTCAAGCTATAAACACAACTAGTCTCTTTGGATACAAACACAAACCCATCAGATCAGGAATAACATGGGATGCAGACATAGTGCTTCACTTACAAAGTCCTTCCTCTGTCAAGTCCACATTAATGATGAAAAACATGAAACCTCTAGCACCTTCCTTCTGTCCTCCAACAAGAGTATTTACCCATCCTATGAAAATCAAAAAGAAAATATATTATGTAAACAAATCTGTAACAATTTCTCCTATTTTTTTGTATGCTTCAGTAACTTCTTGGTTTTAAACATTTTGACCACTTTACACGTTCTCCTTCTCTTCCTTAATGCTTATAACAACAATACAAGTAAAACATAACACAAGTCAGACCTATTTGACCTTGTGCTTAGAGTGATATGACAAACTCAGTATCATTTGATTACTGGGTAATTTATTTATGTTTGGAACACAGTAATATAAAGAAAAACAGCAAAGCATACACTCTTGTAGTCTTCCAGACATTAAAGGACCTGACAGTAGTCTCTAAGTCAGTGACAGAACAGAGACTAGATCATTATGTCAAACTTTATATAACTCTCTAAACAAAGGTAGATAAAGGGGAGTGCAAGAAATAATAGCTTCAGTAGTCAGACTGCCTGTTATTTATTTACTTTTACCCACCACAGAAACAAAAATAAAGCACAAAGTGACTTACAACTCAAATTACTCAAACAGTGGGGGGCTTGAATTTAAACATACGGAGGTCAATTTTAAGTGAAACAGAGCTAGGCTTTAAAAATTTGAGTAATAAATTACTCTTTAATTCTTTACCTTCAAAGGACTTACCTTTGGCTTTAAGCTCTGATAAAAGACTTCCTGGGCCTTCATGCCCAATCAGATGACCAAGGTAATGGCCAGGGTTTGATTTATAGTACTTCTGAAGGTCTGGTATAGGAAATGTGACATAAAGATTTCTAATGTCCTTAATGGGTACCACTTTGTAAAGTTGCTGAGGGGGAAAATAAATGAGGAGATCCATAAACAAAAGGAAATGCTCATTATTTTATTAATCTCAGGAGCACATATCATGTTCCCTTCACACATTTTTATTTATTTATTTTATTACAAACATATCAATAAAATCTCAAAAGTAAAGGTATGCAAAACTTAGGGCAACACTTTAGCCATTCATGACGGAAACAAAAATAGAATTAATTATCTCTCAGTTGCTTACAGCTGCAACCAAATGTACCAACCTTTACTATAAACTACACAAAACTATACTATACTCAGTGTGGAAAAGTGGGTGGAAAATTAAGAAAGAAATATGGAACTTAACAGGGACACTGATACAAAAGTAGTGAAGTGCACAATGTATTCTGAAACATAGAAAATATCATTTAAGGTATACACTCCTGATGGAAGATGTATCTCTATACATACCCGGAGATGTTCTTCTTGGAAAGGATGTTCAGGAAACTCTGGTATAGGGACATTCTTATTTTCTACTTCTGAAAATAGCTTTACCACTAAGCAAGTCAGCTCATCCAAGGATTCTAGAATAACGAAACATTAGAAAAAGCACAATCAGTATCTGAAGATTCTGGCAAATTTGGATTTTGTATATTCTTTGGGGGAGACATGAAGTACACAGAAAAGTAGTTTTAATGGTAGGATGACTATTAATTTCAGAAAGGAAACCTATATTAATACTTAAGTTTTGAACTATAGCATGCTATAAGGCACCACGCTAATTAAAGGGAGGCCTCAATCATGATTAAAATAAATCCTGTAACCAGAAAAAAATATCTTCAAATTTTACTGATGAATCTAAGCTGGAACTGAAGAAGAGACACATCAGATATTGAACATTTACAAAAATAAACATTCCACAAAAAGGGAGTGGAATTACAGCTGCAAATTTTCCAGAGTGGAAGCACTTTTGCCAAAACTTGGATTTTCTTCAGCCTCAGCTCACCTCCAGTCCTTTGCATACACTGTGAGCCAGGGCCATCTGTCCTCAAGCGCCCCAAAATTTCACACACATCTGTGACCTGTTTAAGCACTTCCACTTTTACATCCATTCTAGTTTCACTCCGTGACTCTAGTACTCTCCAAAAACAAGAGGAAGACCATTTGTGGAAAGAATTTGACGTTGTGTATGATTTCACCTAAATCGACCTATACTATTTCTGTTGCAATACTGCCTTCAGAATAGCCATCTGCTTAAAGAAATACATTTTGGAGCACTTCTTAAAGTGAGAATAAGAAAAGAAAGACTCCTCCGTCAAGTTTTAGCACACGCCTTTCAAAGGGCAGTGTTGATGAAAAAAATGGGTGTTTCTTGGATTGTACTTGTACTTTAAGTACAACCTTAATTCTTGAAATATTTCAGAAAGCAGTCACCTTGTTAGTCAAAACAATCCAAGTTAGATTTAGAAAGTGGAATCTTTCCTGACCAACATATGCATGCTCCTATGCTACACTGGAAGAACCATGCAGGGGAAAAAAAAAAAAAACCAACAATGCAAACCAAGATGAGTCACTGTATAATAAAATTTTGTGAATTGCATGTAATTCTATTAAAGATCACTATTTTTTTATCCATGTCAGCAAAATCTGCACTTATTTAAGCTTTTCAACTACAGTGAGGGTTTTCTTTAGGACAGATTTCCAGTTGCCAGGATGATTTTTACTGAAAAAGTTTCTATTTAAAAGTCTATATGTGAACTGCTGTACTAAAGCTGTTCTATCATCACTGAGTGAATTTTGGGTTTGATTAGATAAAAAAAAACTAATTGAAATTATTTTATTTCAGCAAACTTTTGAATATTTATTGCTATTTACTAGAGAAATTATGTTGATTCCCCCACCACTTTTTACTGACATATATTTTTATTTGCTTTACATTACATATATAAAGGGGTGGGAAAATCAGAGAATTACTAGGCTGCACATAGCTTTAGACATCCATTTACTTCAGAATGCACAACAGTGGAGAGATCATGGCAGACTTGTAGTGTGCAACTCAACATACTTTTACGTTACAGAATTTCTAACTGTTTTTTTATGTATTAATTAGCAGAACTGACACATTGATAGCAAGGTATTTCAGCAAAGATTTTATGGAATAATGCTAACAAGGTCTGTTTTCTGCTATTTGCTTTTTATGGGTGGAGATCCCTGAAAATTAAAAAAAAAAAAAAATCAGAAACAACATGGAACTTGTAAATTTTCAAATTTGATGCTAGAGGCAAGCCTTCAAATAGGCAAATCAGTCATTAATATAAAGCCTTCTGGAAAGCAATTGCATAATTCTCCTGCTTGAACGAATAACAAAGTGAGAAAAGGCATGTGCCTTCTCAGGGAAAATAAGATGCAACTTTTGAACAACTAGCATCTCACTGCTAGTGACAACTACTTAACTAAATATGACAAATAAGGGTGGTTGTATGGCATTTTGTAAACAAGTAGACTAACAAAAAGCCTTAGAGTTAGCTTTCAAAAATTTATTTATGAAATTGAAAGGAAAAATTCCAAAGATCAATGTTTCAAAGGCTCCTAATTTTTCTAAATACTGAAGTATTTACAAGGGCAACTCACACTGAAAGAATTTGACTGTGGAAAATGACTAGTAAAACCACCTAAATTCAGGATTTTAACAAGGGTGATTTTTGTATTTTGTAGTAAAAAAACACATATGTGTAAATCACAGAAACATTTGAAACGTAACACATTTTAAGACTATTTTCTAGATTTTATTGGTATTTGGAATACAGATCTTGTCTGTCCTGGAATATTGCCTGTCCAATAAAGAACTAGTTAAAGAAAAAAATATGTCTGAAAACCTTGAAAACAGAACTGTTAAATGAGGAAGAGAATTTTTGTTCAATTGTTTTAAACTCTGATCAATATCTATTTATCATCAATTAATAAATAAATATTTATAAAGAAAATAAAAGTGTTCTTTTCTAATTTCACTCAGGTAAAACAAACAGAAGAAAAAAACTGAGAAGTGGGAAGCACCTCTTTCAAACAGCAATAAAAATATATTCTCAATATTAAAAAAATATTTACAAGCTATCTTCACCAATATTAGTGTTTACTTGCAGAAAGTTTCCACTGCTACCAGGAGAATAAGCAAGGCATTTTCACACATGACATAAATTAAACCCTAGAGGTATTACCTACATACCTACTAGTAATACACCTGATACTCCAGCTTAAAAAAAAAAAAAAACAAACAAACCACAACACTAATACATTTTACTGTTCAGCTTCACTTCACTCTCTTCAAACAGAAATACATGTAAAGTCTTACTCAACTGACAGAACAAAACTCACCTCTTCCTAAGACACAAATAGCCATTAAATTCGATGAATAGTAAGTAGAATGGAACTTCAATAGCTCTTGTCTTACATCTATTCCTTCTTTGGTTGGTCTAGTTTCCAAAGTGAGTTTGTTCCCTATAACATTAAAAAAAAAAGTTAACAATACTTGATGTTTATGAATTTACAAATTAAAAAGAAAAAAATTAATTAATAAATCTGCTTTCCTCCAGATAGATAGTAATTTCTAAAATAATTAATACGTATAAGTAAACTGGATCATTACCGTCTCAGCTTATCAGAGATAATAAATACTTCCACTCTCAATCTGCACATTCCTAAAGAACCAAGGATGTTTTAGTCTTCCAAATTAATCTTCTTAATTTGAATGGGTTATTTCAAAGCAATGCAAGCAAGCCCAGCCTCAGAAGAATAAAAAGGTTTTTCTTTGGCACACTTGGACTATGTTTTACTCCCATATACACATTCCTGTCACAGGAATCACTCTGTGAAATTATTTGTGGCATTGTGTGCCACGAATTATAGCCTAGTATATTAAATGAAATGAACAATTACTAATTTACAAACATGATTTGTAAATTGTGACTGTTCAGCTTCTGCTTCACGAACAGCTGCAGCAGAAGAACAGGACCAGAGTGGAAGAGAACTGCAACTCTCCCTGAATAAATCCATAAGCAGAAGATACCAAACTTTCTCCATTAAATTATCCTTCTGTTATTTAGCGCAATCTTTACATCAACGTCAAGCTTTCAATAATTTAGTCTAAGGACATATTCCACATTTATAGTCCGTGCAGAACTCATGTTTAGTAAAAACTTGAAACAAAAAAAAAAATTAGAGTCTACCAAGAGCACACTGGATTTTAATCAACTCCACTTCCCAATACTACACGGACACACAAAATGATCAACAGAATCTACAGACCAGAACTACAAACTAATATTCTATCTATTAACTTTGAGATAAGTAATTCCCTTAAGCTACAACCAGACCAGGCATAGAAGATAGCAAGGGATAAGGAGGAAGAATAAGGCAGGAAAATGTAGCAGAAAAGCTGGCTTGTGTGTTTATAGGAAAAACAGCGAGAATGAGAGAAAAGACAGGGAGAGTATGTCTGCTATGCATATATGCCCAGTGCGCAAATCCTACAACCACAGATATAAGCTAATACAAATCAATGGGGCAAAATTAGCTACATGAATAATACAAGTATATTGTTCAGATGTTTGCTGATTAGATACAAGACTAATTACAACTGCAACAGTCAACAAATCATTGAAGAGAGGCTACCTGAAGCAATATATTGCTTTAATTTTCAAAGTTCATGTGAGTAAAAGCAAGGACTCTTAATGACACCTAAAAAGGATAATTAGGGTATTATGTTTAAAATTTTGTCTATATTCCTCACCATCTGCAGACAAATGAAACACAGAAGTTTTAGATACCCTACCGTGTGTACTCCCACAGAATCAATACATAGATTAAAATAAAATAAAATAAAAATAAAGCTTTAGCTCAGTAACTGTGCTGTTACAGTACTGGAGTACATTAACAGGGAACAGTCAGAAGACACCTTCTAGATGTAGGAAAATGGACACTAGACAGTGTGAAAGTGCCTGGGAAAGTACTTGACACTGTTGAGGATACCAATGGAGAATTACCATCACAGGCATTAATTCAGTGAGATGAGTGAAGGGTATCTGAGGACAAAAATGCATCCTAACAAGAAAACTGGAAGATTAAGGTGCATTTGTTTCTCTGGGTAGACAAAGAGTAACAGAAGGTTTGCTGGCAAAACAGGCTGCACAGCAATGAGGAGTGACCCGAAGCATCAGTCTCATTTCTGTATTCTGCGAGACTAACAACATCTCAGCTGGTCAAAAGGTAACAGTAAGAAGGATGCCAACTGAAAGTGTCATGAAAACCATATCACACTTGTCATCTCTCTGGGTAAATAAAAACCATCAAAACTGGGCTCTACCTCTGCAAAGTCAGATGTACAGCAAGGCTATGTGCTATAATTTAATTTCAGAATCAGAAGCTAATCTAAGAAGCAGAGAGTACGACTATTGCTATTGAATTTGAGCACATTTTGGGTATTCTCCTCATGAAAATATTTCACTTGTGTCAGCTAAAAAACCTTCTTAAAGTGTAGAAAACTATTTCTGCAACTTTCACTTCTGTTTTCTGAGTGCTGTATAAAATTAAATAACCTCTTCAGTAGCAAAGATTCCAGAATGTACTCTGGTGCTTGCCTGTCTACCAAATACAGTTCCCAAGACTTTATTTTCAAATTTACCTGTTTGGACAATGCAGTTATAGTTTCTCTGATTCAGACAGTCTCTCTTTATTGGTGCATAGAGCAACGCACGCTCTTGTAGCATCTGACTACCAGCCCCTGAACCATGTCCTCCATCAACAGGTGCAAAAATATTCTTCTCTTTCTTGAGACAGAGGCAGAAACTAGTCCTCAAAGCCCATTACCTGCCCTCCCATCATCCTACTGTACCCAATATTTTTATCAACTATTCCTCCAGCAAACTGACCCAGCCACAAAACACATTAATGCTCAAGGACTAAACATGGCAGTGCATGAATTAATAGCCCTGTTACTTTGATAGTTTCAAAAATAAATTAATGTAGAAAATAACTTCATTTAAACTTCTGCCAAAGCACCCAATATTTGTGGTTTTGACCATAACTATGGTATCTCACTTTAATGCTTTTTAAATTGATGTTTTGGGGTGTTTATTTTAAATTGTTACTAAGCATTCCATGAATAATAAAGCCCAAAAAAACCCTACAGCCATAAGACTGGGATTTGTCCAAGACCATTTTATCTATCCATCTACTACCATTGTTTTTTATGCTTAAGATTTTGGTTTTACATTCTTACTCAGTAATTTTCATGTTACTTTGCTGACCTTTCTGTTTCAACATAGTCACTGTCACCTAGTCCTAATGGAATACTAATTAGCAAAAAGAGCATGTGGCTAACAACAATTCATTCACTTTGTTATGCACAAAGACTTAACAGAACCAAATTGTGACAAATTCGGTAACTGGAAAACAGCATTCACTGCAGTAATTATCGGAATCATAAAGGATGCTTCATCACTGTACCGTAAGTCTTGAATCACTCTGTTTCCTATGTTTTTGTCTAGCTCTGTTTGGGCTACCATGTGGAAAATGTGATAAAGTACCATAATAAAACATGTATGGAGAGGAAAAAAAGGGAATTGTTTCAGTCTGTCTTTAACAATTTTATATAAACAATAATACTATGTATGTTACACAGAACTCCAAGGGATGGATAATTATATTCTGACAAACCTGTTCCAAATTTACTGAAGGGATGATTGGGATTTCCAGTAGCCTTCTCCAATTGAAATAACCTCCAGGCATCATTCATCAGATTCTTCTCATGCTCAGAATCAACAGCATTCACTTCCCTGTCTTTGCAGCTTTCATCAAACAAAGGGCACAGGAAAAACTGGGCAAACCTAAACAGAAAAATTTTAGTTCAAATCAAGAGTACTGTTCATAAATGGCAATAGAAAATTATGAAGCTTGGTACCTCCTGAAAACAGCTGAATATATTATTTTTTTAATGCAGAACTTACAGATTCTGTAACAGTTTTGACACTGATTCACTATATTTCTCAATTTCTTTATCTATAAATGCAGACAACGACACATTCATCATATAAGGTACTACAAGGATCAAGGACCTTGCATCATAATTCATACACTGAAAATTTCTACTTTTTTGAAGTTTAGCTGCAAGACGCTCTTAAGCTTGCAAATCAAATCAGTCTTGTCAGACATCCAGCAAAAATCCAAAGGGAAAATACACTCTACCTCACTGACTACACACCTTTCAACTTCTGTCCCCTCTCACAAAAGGCAGAGATTTCACTGAGTTCCCTTTACTAAAGGCATCCTAATATATTTCTAGACTTCATCCTTCTTTTGCTATCAATGAAACAAGGATCCTATGGGAAGTATAGTAATTGATTATATGATCAGAGTATTTGCACAATGCCTAAGTTCACGATCATATTCTGTGCCCCACATTTCCAAAAATATTCAGTGTAAACACAGCCTTTGAACTTCAAAATTCTGGCTCAGTGAAGAACTCTGCTAGCTGACAAGACGTGGGCAAAACTTTTGAACTGAAAAATATCTGGTATCAGTTTTAACAAAAGACAGTGCTCTCAACCCTTTCTTTAATATCATAATGATAAAACTATTAAAAAAAAAAAAACTTTTACACAATTTCAAACAGCACCTATATAACAAAAAATTAAACATAAAAAAAAATGTTTTTACCTGTCTAATGCACCTTCTAGATGTTCATGTGACACATCAAAGTAATAGTTGGTATGTTCTCCACTCGTGAAAGCATTTGAGCTCCCAGCATGCTCACTAAGAAACTGGCTATACTCATTCTCTTTTGGATATTTCTTGGTTCCCAGAAAGAGCATATGCTCACAAAAATGACTAAGCCCAGCAATGTTGGGGGGATCAGACAAGGATCCTGCAGGAGGAAAAATTTCATGTAATCATTCATTAAAAGTAATACTAAAACGTAAAGACTTTTAAAGTGCTTTATATTGCAGTATGTTCCCTCAGGCAATTACATACATTCTGTAGATGTAAGCAGACACTTGTGCAGCTACAGTCAACCAAACTCATTCTAAAAAAAAACCCACAACACAAAAACCAAAAAAACAACCCAAAAACCCAAAAAACAACCCCAAACCAAATTAGAATGAGTAACCAAACCAATTAGTGTCTCAAATTGCCTCTCCAGATCAACCTGCACTGCCTCATAGGGACAATTTTTTAATTGAAGTCCATGACTCATAATCTGTAAAGACCTGGCAGATCACAATGTTCTGACTTCTATACCTTGATTTTAATAACTGCACTGCATTGAAAGACAGCAATTGCCAACTACAATTAAGGAGGTATTTATCCTGTGGTTTATAGGACGAGTGATAACCTGTAGTTGCCTGAACACAAGCAGCTACTGATGACCAGCTAGGAGGTATGAAGGCAGACAAATTAAAAGACAATAATGATGTGCAAGAATGGAAGCTAGAAACGTGGAAGTTTTGAGTCTGGCAGTCCTGCTTTGGAGAGTGCAACGATGTGCAACAGGAGAGTAGAGATGATGGCAACAGACACATCTCCTCCAGTACATGTGCAGGAATTGGATGTTACAGTTGGCTATTACCGTCATAGTACCTAATAAAACCACATTCGGGATCCTCTGAACTAGATAATGATTTGTGACAGCCATCTCCATAATAAAAACGGCCAGAAGTTTTCAAAGTTACTCTACTACTTCTGTCCTAACACCAAGAGCAGCAACAGCTCCCAACTACAAACATGGCAAGGGGATGCTTAGGTAATGTGTGTGCGCATCATACCTTCCGAGCAACTGAGAAACTACACAAGCTTGAGAAACACCTCAGAGTTAAGAAAAAGCTTCCATTATTCCAGAGACGAAGTAACTGCCATCCCCTTCTATTCCCCATATTTCCGTTCACATGCTTAAGCACCACTGGAGTTAGGGAGTGCCTCTCCAACTCCTCCAGCACTACAGCATTTTCTCACCTCTACACAACAACAACTTAACATGAAGAAAAAAAAAAAAAAAAGTCTGACATGACAGATGGAGCTGTCTGAAATAACTGTATACACACCCGCCCCTTTTCTGCTTACAAAAGATCTTTCATAACACAAAACTTAATTGTTAAAAGAAGTCTTTCTACTGACTGAGCTACACTTGAGTAAACACAGAGTACAATAAAAGCACCTAATTAGCTCTAATAATTTTCAACTTGATGTGTCAAAGAATTAAACAAACTCTAAATTACAATAAAAGGCTAGGTTGCCAACTGGATACCACTCCTGTCAGTTTATTTGCAATTAAGATACCAAAACTTAAAGCATTTTTATTAATGACATAATGAACACAACATGCGTTAAATACCTATGTGCACATCGAGTGCTGCTGAAGACTTATCTGTGGTGGGGTCACTAATGAGTAGAGCTTTAATGCCATTTGCCAATTCTAGTCCACGATATTCTCGTTTATCCTCAGGTGATTTGATAATTTCATTTGTTATTCTCTTAATAGCTGGATTGTTCATTTTGTTGTTTGTCTCTTTCTGAAACCTTGAAGAAAACAGAAGAAATTTCATTTACTACTTTTATTTAAGCCCTGCTTAATACTTTAATATTACGTTAGAGAATACTGGGCAATACTGACAGCAAGAAATTTAGTTCTGCACAAAACTCATAGCGTTGGCCTACACATATAGTTTAGATCCTGAGAGACAGTGCTGTTAAAACAACAACAGAAAAAATCCAAAGACCAAGCAACATGATAAAATTGAATCTTTCAAGTTTCATACGAACAGTAATTTAAAAAGTAACTTAGTAAAGAAATATCATCCCCTTATACAATTATGGTAAAAACTAAAAGAAGCAAACATTGCTACCTCAAGTATACTTGCAGGCTTCAGGGAAGTATTTCATGTGTCTGAACTGGTAGTTATACTATGAATGTTTTAACTTTGCGATTGTCAGATAAACAAAATTTTACTAATAAACCACTGGATTTGTACTCAAACAAGAAAGGGTGACACCATTTGCAATACTGCCATAAAAATACAAACACACTGCAGAATTGCCATGATAAACAAGAACAGACTGACGTGTTCAAACTTCTATTATTAGTTTAACAGACATGCTACAAGACACACTTCTTTAATGGCACAATTTTGAAATGCTAAGAAACGAAGTGTGATTCTGAAATTATGAACTCTGGTTATTCACTTTTTTTAAATGCCAAGTGAAAAGCCGAGACATTCAGACGTGGATATTTGGGGAGGCAGAGTGGAATCACTTCGCCGCAAAAAAAGAAAAGGAAAAAAACCAACAAAACAACAAAACAAAATACCAACACAAAAAACCCTAAACAAACCATACACATACAAAAAAAAAAAAGGAAAAGCAAACCCCAGAAATGGGAAATCAGAGAGCTATGCTATGAGGCAGCCACGTGGTATACTCCTGTATGTAGCAGACACTGAATTCTAACCCCATTTTACAGTAAGGGTTTTAGAATGGGGCCTGTTATAAATACATAGTACCAACCAAACTCAACATTTTCCTGTGGTGAAATGTTGCTTGCCACATTGCCACATAACTTACTACATGAGTTTCATTAGTCGTTGCTGAACTAATTTCACTTACAAAGAAAACTAGGTCCAAGTCTAACTCCCCACCTCAACACATACACAGGAGAAATTTTGTATGGTCCTGTCAGTATTTACTTTCCATTTTCAGGTTGTACGGTTCAAGGAACTTCATCCAAGTTTGAAGGCTACATACAAGTTTTAAGACTGTACGTGATGTGGAACATGAAGGACTGCACAGTTCTCAACACACCTATTGTTTTAGGTCTTCAGTCATGACATTTTAACTAACTAGCTAGCAAATCAACTGCATACTCAATGTTACCAGATACACAACAAAAAACTGTGGAAAAGAAAATCTGATTATATATTTTATTTACAGTTTAAAATTACAAATTAGAAAGGGAGTCAGCTTATAAAGTCTCCTTCCTAAAATATTGTATCATTCTCAAAACAGAAAGCAGTTCTGCAAGCTACTGTCCATCTGGACTATCTCCTTCCCGTTTATTCATGTGATTCTATGATTCTATGGTATAAAAACAACAGCCAACTTGAAGCCAGCAGATGCAGAGTCACCAGTGTTGGTGTTATGTATCATAATGAGGCTGATAAAGAGCTCATTATTAACAGCATATTAAGAACGGAAAGTTTATAAACATAATAATGTCTACAGTAGAATCAGTGAAAAACAGTGTTTCACAAACGGAAAATTAAGATTGTACCTGTAGCAGAGTGAAAGTTTGTACAAGACTGGATTTATGCTTGAAGGAGATACATATGTTAACTGGAGAAGGTATTATTGTAAAAAAAAAAAAAAGAAAAAGCAGTAAAGTAAGCATTAGATCTTTGAATACTTTTGAAAGAATTAAAAGATTACTTTGGAACTTTTCAATAGACTTAAGTTAGAACATGCCCTTGTATGAAAGAAAGCAAAATTACAAACAGGAATTATAATCCAAATTAAAAAAATAGAAGCACTGAGTACAAAAAGCATCAATGAGTACAAAAAGAATCTGAATGTCTCTAAGCAAGAGTCATAAACACCACAAAGTAACTTTCAAAAATCTGCGGCTCAATGCATTTTAGAAAGAAACATTTCCACTAGTAAAACATAGTTCTCACACTATGAATTAGTGCAAACATAATCACTAAACAGTAACTGAAATACTGATTTTAAATTTAAATGTCTACACTCTCATTTAAACCTGTCATTTATCCACTAGTTTAACCCTTTACTCAGGCTAATCCTGCTTAGAATATCTATGGGCTTCCTACTCTGAAAAAATGCAGATACCATTCAAAAACAAAGGGTACTCCAAGTACGGCAACATCTATGTTCCTCTGCATCAACAGCACCGATATAATCCATGCTTATGATTTAAAAAAATGCCTCCTTGTTCCAAGTTCAGAGTCCTAGCAGCAATACTCTACTAAACTTAAGATATCGTGTAAAATTTATGAAGTAAGAATAGATACTACTTTTCACAGATGAAAATCAGTAACTACACGGTTCTTAATTTTACTTCACTTCTACACAATTTAATTGGATTGACAAATGTAAGTATGTAGGAGAGCAAGGAAGTCTCTGAATCTCCTGATTTCACCTCTGATAAGGAATACCTATGACTTGGTTTTCAGCTAAAATATTCCATCTCACTAAGATACTAGTTGCTTATCATAAGATTCATATATACTATAAACTTCTCGAGTTTTTTTTTAAATGTTATACAATTTCCTTGTCATCTGATATTTCATTATTTCTGCACTACATCATTAAGTCACAGAACTTTACTGTTTGTTCAGATGACTCATCTTTCCAATGTGAGTCACCAAATTACGCAGGTTCTGTGAAATCTTATGAGATTTCAATTGATGTCTTGTGAAGCTGTACACCTCCACTTCATTTTATTATCATTCCCTACTTCTGCTTCCTTCATAGGCTACCTCCAGCTTAGCAGTCAAATTTCAGTACAGGAAAAACCTACAATTTTCAAAAGCTCAAAATCAGTAATTAAGCCTTCAAATCAAGGACTTAAGCTTGTATCTTCATTGCTATTTCAATGAGCATTGTGAATACAACATCCTCTTCAACTTCAAATGGGTTTGCATGATTAACCCACAATTATTTCCTTGCAAACTAAACTGTAGTACCAGACAACTCATATAAGAGCAAGAGCAGATAAACTATGCAATATTCCTGGAAGGCAATGCATCAAAAGAACAAGACTAATACTCTCCTGCTTTAGTACCGTTCCTCCTGGTGCTATGTTACTACAATACAATAGCTAGAAAATAAAACTTCACTTTTTTTTTTTCTATTTATGAGAAATTTATACTATGTATAAATAGTATTATTTATACATATGGCTTTATGTATGTATTTATACTATTGCTTTTTCCTAAGAAGTAAACTGTAAGACAGAATATTAAATATTCCCTCATATGACTGCTTTTCTGTGCAACTTTTAAGTTCTCTAAGTGAAACTGCTTTATAACAATACCACGTTCCATTCTTTCACACAAGGATCCTAGAACACTACAAACCACTTATTGACAATAGAACTGCTTTTGACCATAGGAAAAAAAGTAATTGAAACAGAACGAATTCTATATTTCTTGCAGTGTTTTAAGAAGCAGCTTAATTCCTCAAGTCATGTTCAGATGCTGTCCTGAAGTACATGTGCTCTATCTACTTGCTATGCTGTCACTACAGTGAGCAGCGGATGCTGATGGTCAGTAGCACTAAATGCTATGTTTATTGCAGAGCTAGTACCCTAACAAAAATGTCATTAAAAGAAATACTGCCATGCTACTTTCACAAAACAGAAGCAATGGACAAAGACCAAATAAAGCAAATACAGCAGGAACAAAAACATTACTGTAGCACTGGGAATTCTTCCACTGGCTCCAAAATTACAGGTGGTAAGATGACAGACTTAGAAAGACAAAGATAAAAGAATGGGGATGTTTGAACCCAGAGTGGTCTCTATTCAATGACCAGGAAATATTAAACATTCTTCCTCCTCAAAATTACTTCACTTGAACAAGAAAAGTATGAGTTAAAACAGACACTGAATTTTAAACTACAGCACTTTGAAGTAAAATTATATTCTATTCTTTGAGGTCCCATTTTTGTAATGACTTCCAGGCAGGCAGTCCCTTGGAACCAGTGAGGCTCTCTGGGGATGCCAAGTTCCACCTGCAAACAGAGTATTACAGAGTGGGATTAAGTGATATATGATTCTGCCTAACTATTTTAATCTTTCAAAGTTATTTTAGTAAACTTACTGTAATTAAAAATTAGCCAGTGTAGTCAAATCTAAAGTTCAATGTTTGAACAATTAAAGGACCATATTTGAAAACCAATTAACAGAAACTCCTGAGGGTTGCTTCAACGCAAGACTGTAACTAGCTAATAAAAATATGACCCCCAAAGCACAAACTCCAAAGCGCTTTTCAAGATTTTTTTGCTGTGACGGGCTGCACATACTTAAGTCAAATGCTGGTTCATAGGTCTGAGCCAGATGAATGGCTATAAACACCGATCAGCTTGAAATAACCAGATGTATAGCAACAAACAGCAGCTCAGCAGCTTTGGTGCTACTTTCAATTTATATCAGTTGCCTTAAAATTTGGGGTTTGCTTGAAGCTTTTATGCAACTATACCCAAATTACTTCTATGGGCTCATCTGTGGGTGTTGCAACATACTTAGTTTAAGTTTACACTCGCATGTACCAGGATCTGAATTGCTCCTTGTTTTCAACTCATGTTTTATCTGTCTTTTGAATACACTTACTATGTTATGCTGACTGCAATACAATTGTTACTCAAGTTCTCTGTTTTTGAAACTATACAAAAACCACAGTAATGTTCAAACTCACCTTCTGCACCCGTTCCAAGTTCTGTATTTCATTTATATCCTTTTTTTTTTTTTAAGTTTGGAAATTAAAAAATCCAAACAAACCTTAAT